TTCCAAACCAAGTAGAAATTGGGTTCCGCAGAAATAGGAACTTCATGCGTAGGGTTCAATAAATACCCAAAATATTCGCTTCCCTGGGTCTCAGCAGGTTTGCATCACATGCCCAAATAATTCAGAGGACTAAAATGGCATCCCAAGAAAAGATTATTTCAAAATAGTTTTAATGAACACCACATAGGCACAGGACTTCTTCCTAAGTAGTTGCAGACTGGTTAAGTAAGTGGTAGCTTTCTAGAGTGAGATTTCCCTCAAAGATGATGCTTTAGATTAAACAAACATTCTAAATGGGAATTTTCAGATTTTGAAGTGAATAGTATTTTAATGTCTAAATGGAATGTGCATAAGAAATGGAATTTAAGTGTTTTAATGCTGCTAGTTGGTAACTTTGAATATGATTATTGTGATTTTATAGAATATAGGTTAACGGGACTGTTTTTTTTCCAAAGTGGCTTAAAAAAATATTTAAATGCCAATCTTGGATTGCAGAATCTTTATGGGATTCTTAACTTGTTATGTCTTTGTTCAAGAAAGCTTGAATTTAATTAGAAGGTTTTTTAAAATTGTTTATTTTTTTAAATGAGTTTCTCTAGTTTTATTTGTTCTCTCTTAGTTAACTTTCAGTTATTCAATTTATGGAATTCTTGTGGTAAAATTTTAATCCTAAAATCTATTCACTGAGTTCATTTAAGTAGGGAATGTGTACATACTAATGACTGGGTAAGACTGGAAACCAATTTTGAATTGATGACCTACACACAGTCATTTATGGGATTTTGATTTCTCTGTGGTATGGAAATTCCTAGTGGCAGAATTCCACTGTGGCAGTAGTCACTTCAGTCACTGTCCTCTTACCAGGTTGACCATTCCCACTACCACCATCCCTAGCCCTGTGTTGTAAACAGGTTACCTGTTATCTGAACATAAGGAAAAGTCCTCACCTCTTCTCCAACTTACCTCTCAGTCTCGATTCTTCCAGAACACCCTTCTTTTTCATAATGCAAATCAACTGAAAAATGAGATTCAGTGTATGGAATTTTGTGACCATTTACCTAACATAGTTTAAGGGATTCTTGAATTCTGCCATTAATACTGATAAGCACACCTGACTAAGGCATAGTTTTTTTGTTGTAGAAATACAATATATGTTCGTGGTGGGTTTTTTTTAAAATGGGCATACAAATTGCACCTCCCTAGGAGATAACATTTTATATACATTTTGGTGTGGGGTTTGTTTTTTTTTTTTACTATGGATTTACATTTCCCTCTTCCACTTATTCTTTTTCTATGTCGCTCTTATATGTCCTAATATCTTTCATACCTCTCGTGTAGTCTTTCTAAGCAGAGAGCGCCCAAGTGTTGGATTTTGGTAATGAAGCTCTCACTCTGCCTCTGTTTTTCATAATGCAAATCAACTGAAAAATGAGATTCAGTGTATGGAATTTTGTGACCATTTACCTAACATAATTTAAGGGATTCTTGAATTCTGCCATTAATACTGATAAGCACACCTGACTAAGGCATAGTTTTTTTGTTGTAGAAATACAATGTATGTTCGCGGTGGGTTTTTTTTTTTAAATGGGCATACAAATTGCATCTCCCTAGGAGATAACATTTTGTATACATTTTGGTGTGGGGTTTGTTTTTTTTTACTATGGATTTACATTTCCCTCTTCCACTTATTCTTTTTCTATGTCGCTCTTATATGTCCTAATATCTTTCATACCTCTCGTGTAGTCTTTCTAAGCAGAGAGCGCCCAAGTGTTGGATTTTGGTAATGAAGCTCTCACTCTGCCTCTGGGGTCTATGGGAATTTGGAAATATTGGAGCTATTGGCATGTTGCATAAAGGGCTTCCTAGAGTTGTCATCTATCTATCCTTGATAGCCTGCATTTTACGTTGATGCTGTGTTTTCCTTTGACAGATGAGTGCCATCTGTACTCTAGTCACAAAATGCCATTATTTCCAGTGTCCTGTAGGATGTCCCCTAAGCTATTTGCTTATTATGTGAATTTGCATGAAAGCTGGTGAACTTTTTATGATCAAGTCATTTCTCTGCTCATAAATCCACAGTGACTTCTTAGCCCCCATATCAAATGCATACCTTTTGCCTTTTTCTGAACCTTACTCCTACTTCTAACAGGAGCCTCAGTTTAGTCTCGTCAGTCCTTCAAAGCCTGACCCCTTTCCGACTCCTCAAGAAATTTTGTCTTTCTTCTTTGAATCCCTGTAAGCTTCAAGTCTACGATATACTCTTACACAAAATTATATATTGTTTTGTACTGTTTCTAGCTGGTACATGTATATTAGTTTTGCCTCCCTCATGAGAATGTAAGCTCCTTAAGGGCAGGGACCATGTCTTAAATTTTTGTATCCACCACAGTGCCTGGCATAGTGCTCGGCACATGGGTGCTGAATAAATACTTTGTTTATTGATCAGCAAACTATTATCTGGTATTTTTAATTAAAGAGAGATTAATGGCCCAGCCAGTGTGGCTCAGTGGTTGAACATCAACCTATGAATCAGGAGGTCACGGTTCGATTCCTGGTCAGGGCATATGCCCAGGTTGAGGGCTTGATTCCCAGTGTGGGGCATGCAGGAAGCAGCTGATCAATGCTTCTCTCCCTCGTCCTTTCTCTCTCTAAAATAAAAACATTTTACTTTTATTTTTAAATCCCCACCCAAGAGTATTTTCCCATTGATTTTTAGAGAGAGTGGAAGGGAGGGGAAGAGACAAATAGAAACGTTGATGTGAAAGAGACCCATCTATTGGTTGCCTCCTGCATAGCCTGATCAGGGACAGGGATTGAGTCTGCAACCAATGTATGTGCCCTTTACCCAGATTGAACCCAAACCCTTCAGTCCACGGGCCAACACTCTAACCACTGAGAAACTGGGTAGGGCAATAAAAACATTTTTAAAAATAAAAAGGACAGATTTCACATGAAAACGTTCATTTTTTTACTTTCCTTGAAAAGAATGGGAAGGTCTGGCAATACCCAGCCTGCATGGCAGCTATTGCCCAGAGATCACTAGTGGCTGCTTCTAGAGTCAGGGAATGTTCTCTATGAGGAGATTATTTTACTCATGCATATTACCTATCTGGACTCATAATCATGTGGAGCACATGCCTCCTTCATTAGCTTACTCAGGAAAGCACACTGGGAAAAAAGACCGAGGTCTTTTACATACTCCAGGTCCATAAATTGAGTTAACATTCAGTTATTGCTATGGTTTGAATATTTGTGCCCCCACCCCAAATTCATAGGTTGAAATCCTAATCCCTGATGTGATGGCATTAAGAGGTGGGGGCCTTTGGGAGGTACTTAAATCATGAGGTAGATTCCTCATTAATGGGGTTAATGCCTTATATAAAAGCTCCAGAGATCCCTACCCTCTTCCTTCACCTGAGGGTACAAGAAAGGAGCAGCAATGAAACAGGGAGAGGGCCCTCAACCAAAGGCAACCATGCTGACACCTTGATCTTGGAATCCAACCTCCAGAACTGAGCAATAATTTTCTGTTGTTTGTAAGCTACCTAGTCTGTGGTATTTTGTTATAGCAGTACTATTTGGTATTTTATTTTCCTTTTTAGTTTTGGGTTGTCTTTCTAAATTTTTAAGGGCAAGAAGTGAAATTTTGTCAATTCTTAAACACATATTTGCTATTAGTTCAACATGTACTTTTTCAGTAACCCCTGATCACTATACTGTCAGCAACTAAAGGAAAATTGCCTCAGATCTAGAGGAAGGGGAAAGGAGAATTTTTAACAGGTTTACAAATATAAGTGTCATGGAGATGAACTTCAGAGGATGCCTCAAATCCTTCATGTGGGTTGAAGCTAATGATAAATTCTTTTTATATAATTTCCTGTATGCAGAGCAAATGAGCTGCTTGCCAGTCTTTCTGTGTGAATTAGAAAATCGTCTAAGAGCTTTGAACTTAGGAAGGGACGGGCAAACTAGTTTTAACCTACTTTCCCTTGCTGCAGTTCTGAATCTTCATTGATTGGTGTTTGTGTGATGGGTGTTGGTGTCACTGTAGAGAACTTCAAAGCCTGGCAGGAATAGTTGGAGGAAAGGAGGGGGAAATACAATTTTAGTCCCATTAAAATCCATCTTTCCCTGCTTGTATTACAGGAACATGCCACTCCATTTGGGATAGTCATTTTCTGAGAATATAGAATTATTAGAAAATATATAATGCTTTCCTTTTCTGCAACGCAAGATGATCACGAGTATCCTTTTCAACATTCTCATTTTTTTTATTTACCTGTGAATGACTTTAATTTTGGAGACTCCGTTTCTTGTCTGTAAATTGGGGATTAATAGTATTAAATTGCTTAGAGGATTAAATAATTGCAAATGTTTGTGTTCCTCATTGATTTTTAAAAATTAAGCACTTTCCTTGAAAAGCGAGTACTATGGTGAAAGGAGAAGGGGAAACGCGTGTTTACTAGAATTAGTATTACCAGCACAATAAAACTGGAAGACCGCTTTATTAACCAAGGAAGGTGAAGGTCCCAAGGAACCGTACACCCCTTCCTTCGCTGTGGTCGCTCCGGACCCTTTTCTTGTACCGCGGATGTTGCTCTCCTCGCCCTCAGGAAGTGAAAGCCTTCCCAAGCTCCCAGTGCATGCTGGGAGTTGTAGTCCTTTCCCTGCGACAGGAGGCCGTGAGGTCTCCCTTGGTCGCCGGGAGTGGCTAGCACGTGGCTGGAAGGGGCGGCGCGTGCTGGCACCCGGCTCCCGGGAGCTGCGAGCTGCCCGCCCTCGCTCCCCCA